AAAAAAAAAAAAAAAATCTAACATTCATTCCTGTAAATAATGCCAACAAGGCAAGGATAAAATTTCCTGAATCTGATGAAGACTATCTAACAAAAAACCTACACACCTGATGAAAAATCATTGAAACAGAAAGCAGAATGGTTGTTGCTAGGGGCTAGGGAAGAGTGAAGAATGAGGAGTTACTACTTAATGGGTATAGACTTTCAGTTCTACAAGATGAAAAGAGTTCTGGAGATTCATCACACAACAATATGAATGTACTTAACATTCCTGGAGTATACTTAAAAATGGTTACAATGGTAAATTTTAAGTTATGTGTATTTTATCACAATTAAAAATAATTTTTTAAAAGATCTCAAGTCAGTAACATGAATAAATGGAGAAAAATACATTGTTTATGGATTAGAAGACTCAATACTGTTAAAATGTCAAATTCTCCCCAAAGTGATCTATAGATTCAATATGACCCAATCAAAATTCAAGCAGACATTTTGTATAAATTGACAAAATGATTCTAAAAGCCATATGAAAATGCAAAGGACCTACAATAGTCAAAACCACTTTGAAATACTGATTTCAAAACTTATTATAAGCTATAGTAACCAATATTATGTAAAACTGTCATCAAGACTAATAAAGAAACCAATGGAACAGAAAAGAAAATCCAAAAACAGACTCACAAATATACGAAGAGATGATTTTTTACAAAGGTGCAAAAGCAATTCAGTGGAAAAGGACAGTTTTCTCAATAAATGTTGCTGAAAGAACTGGATCTACATAAGCAAAAAAGGATGCACTTATTCCTATGTTGCACCATCTATAAAAATCAACTCAAAATTAATCACAGACTTAAATATAAAGCCTAAAACTACAAAACTACTACTAGAAAACATACTAGAAAATCTTTGCAACCCAGGGTTATACAAATTTCTTAGGTATACCACCAAAAGGAAGATCCCTAAAACAACAAATTGATAAAGAGGACTTTATTAAAATTTTAAATTTCTGTTCTTCAAAAGACACTGTTAAGAGCATGTAAAGAAATGCCACAGAATAATTGAAAACATTTGCACAACACCTATCTGATCAAAGACTTGTATCCAGAATATCTAAAGAACTCTCAGTAGTCAAGAAAAAGAAAACAAGACATTTTTCCAAAGAAGACATCCAGATGGCCAACATACACATGAGAAGATGCCCAACATCACTCATCATCAGGGAAATGCAAATCAATACCACAATGAGATATTACCTCACACCTGTGATTTTAGAATGGCTAAAATCAAAAGCACAATAAACAAAACAAGTATGAGTGAGTATGTGGAGAAAAAGGAACACTTATGCACTGTTGGTAGGAATGATAACTGGTGCAGCCACTGACAAAGACAGTAAGAAGCTTCCTCAAAAATTTTTTAAAAACAGGATTACCATATGACTCAGTAATTCTACTACTGGGTATTTACCCAAAGAATACAAGAACACTAATTCCAAAAGATATGTGCACCCCTGTGTTTACTGCAGCCTTATTTACAATAGCCAAATTATGAAAGCAGCTCGAGTGGCCACTGACAAGATGAATGGATAAAGAAGAGGTGGTATACACACACACACACACACACACACACACACACACACACACAC